ATATATATATACATACATATATACACAATATTTGGTAGAGGCCCAAATATCGGTTTCCAATGCGCTGAGGGCCTATGATGAGAACCCCGCACCATGTGATTATAATTCGACCCTCCATGCACCACGGGTGGTATCGAACCCTTACCAGAGGGGACTTATAGTGACCCTACCTACCAACTGAACAAGAAAAGCGACACACACACACACACACACACACACACACACATATATATATATATAAACACACACATAAACACACATAATATTAGAATTATTAAAAAACATAATTACATATGGAACACACGAAACATTGTTGTTTACAAAACTAACACCTAGATTATTTTCTTAACTATCAAAAAATAAAGAATACGCTTTAGTGTTTTATCATGAACTTCAATATTTGAGTGAGAATTTGAAAGATTGATAGAAGAGGGAGATAGATTCGTCAATAAAAGTAATTTGAATGATATGTATGTAATTGCTATACAATCACGTTTATTATATCATTATAAGTGTATAATATTTATTAACAATCAATAATATTAATTAGTTATGTCCTCATTATTGGCGATATTCTCCTCTATTTTGTTTTGTTTTGGGCATTTACATACATACCATTCAATTATTATGCATTCACATATCTGAAAATATTGATTATTTTATTTTAATCACCCAAAATTTAAATATAACGCTTTAGCCACCCAAAAATTTTAGTATAACAATTGAACCGCCCAAAATTTTCACTCAAATCTTTCATGAGCGAGTACTGAAGCGTGGTTGTAATGAAAAAGGTGGTTAAAATGTTATATTTAAAGTTTGAATGTTAAATGAAATATACGCTTTCTTTACTTATTTAATTCAAATTCGTATAATCTTGTTTGGGAGTCCTTATTTGGCCATCTTGTCGCTCAAACTTTGAATCTTGATTTTTTTTTAATTTTAATTAGGATTTCCTTATCTACTTTCTAACAATTGTAGCAACTGTTTTATTCGAGTTATTTCATTCCTAAAATTTTTTATGTCCTAAAGTTATAGTTCTGCAACCTATATAATGGTCACCTATGAAAAATTTCTTTGCTGAGAGTTAAATCTCGTTACTCTTAGATTAGAGTACCCTTAGCTTTGCCCGTGGATACGGATTGTTATCTCTTTGCTCATAGATTCAAGTAATTTCAAGATGAAGGTGGTGACCATCTTCTTTTCTACGCTCTCAGCTTCATCATACCATCTCTTATATAAGCACTGCACCCTATTTATCATTTTAATCTTAAGTTTGCAACTAGTACTCCATCATGCACAAACTTTGATATTGTTTTATGTGTTGTTACCAAGTTGTTATGCTTCTTTTCTTATTTATTTTAAAAAATCGATAAAATATTTACTTGCCTAAAAAAATCTTCGATTTAGAAAAATAGATCATCTAAAATAATTAGTATGATTTTTCTTTAAAACATCAATTTTTAGGGGGCATTTCTCTTCAAGCAAAATTTAGTATTGATAGGATTTTATAAATCTAAAAGTCATCAATCATTTAAATCAACCCTCTTGTTGTATTTAGTAAATCCAGATTTAAGCTGAGCTGAACACAAAATTTGAGACTTGAAATATGAGAAATCATGAATCTAAAGAATTTAGGTATTTTTGTGTTTGGCTTGCCTAATCAAATGCACCACTGAACAAAACACCCTCTTGAATTAAATTTTGCCAAATCACCTATCATAAAAGAAGGCGGTGTGGGTCCTATTTTATTTAATTAAGAGTGATCTATTTGGAGGTATAATAAGTTTATATCTAAAACTGAATGCAACAATTGGTCTTGCTCATGCCACTAAAAAATGTAAATTAGCTTAGAATAGGGGGCCTCTTCTAAGTTCAATCCTTAGCAAATAAAGCAAGCTATGTGAAAGACTAGAGCAAGAGCCAATTAATTTACTATAGAATGTATTTCATTTATTTGCATTAAAATATTAGAGTATTATATCAATTAAGAAAGAAATATAACTTATTCTGTAAGGGGATGTTGTTTGTATTTGATTGTATTGCTCCCAATAATTAACTAAGCTTTAGGTGTAAATGAAAAGTATATTGCTATAAGGAAAATATATACTTATTTCATATCAATGAAGGACCAAAATTAGCAAAATATGGCATCAACTAAGCAAGCGATTCGAATAAGGATATTCCAAATAAAACTCAGATAATAGCACAAGCCGACATAAGCCAAACGAGAGCTAAGTCTAATCAATTCTTCATGGAAACTCGACTTACATGTATTGTTTATCAAAGTCATTTATGTGACTTCACTTAATCCAATCAAACAAAGTAACAACACTAAGCCCAACCCCTTCGCCTGATCTAGTTTAACAAATCTTACAAATAAAATAATTCAACAAAGCAAACTTATTTTTGTTAATAAATTCTATAAACATATGACATCATCATCATCAGCTACATCAACTTAGGGTCTGTTTAGGGCAGCTGCAGCTTATTAAATAATCTGCTGATAAGTTGATTAAAAATAATCTATTGATAAGCTAGACGTGGTGGTCATTAGAAATTTTTATTTTTTTGAAAAAAATCAGACCTCAGCCAGAAAGTTGTCACCGCACCTAGATAGGTGCGGTGTGAAAATGCTGTTTTCAGCATTTTAAAAATGCATAAGCTCCCAAAACGCAGTTCACTAAAACAGGCTAAGTGCGTTTTCAAATCGTCACCGCACTAAATAAGCTGCCCAAACGGAGCCTTAGTGTTATATTTTTTATAGTTTGAATTTTTTCTTTTTTCTTTATTCTTTTTTGTGTAGTGATTTATATAACTCTTTCAGGGCACAGCAGACCCAAACCTAAAATGACGCCAAATAAACCAAATCAAGACCATATAAGCTGAATAATATCAAATAAATTAAAATAAACAATAAAATAAAACAAAAAACAGCCTATTCTACACTTTTTTTTATTCTGGTCAATTTTCTTCCTTCTAGGAAGATTCTTCATGGCTCTGCTCCTCCGCGGTCCAGTACGTCTTTACTGCTAATAGAAGCTTCTCCCTCAGAAAGGGACCATCTTCATGGTCCACTATCTCACTCTTCCATCTCATCCCATCTGCAATGCTCTTTATCTTAACCACAATGTCCACGTCATCTCTTATGATCACTGTTCCCTCAGGCCTCAGTATCCTATCCATCTCCAGCAGTATATTCTCCATCTCGCACCTGACACAACACAACCCCCACATCATCTCAATTATAGTTTTCATTTGCAAAATTTTATTTTTATTTTACACATATATTACCACACTCAGGTTATATTTTGTGAGATCAGCATTTTTGTTCCATATTATTCAAAATCAGAATAGTATTAAAGCAAATAAAATAAGTTTTCCAGCAAAATTCATTTTTTTTTCTTTCAGCTTCATTTGCATTAGCATATATCTGTAAAAAAATGTTTGGATTAATCATTTCTGAATCACCTATCTTCATAGATTGTAAACAAAGAATCAGCATGGAGGAGATCGTATGTCCTTGGATACGTTGACATTGCCTCGCACCTGCAACAACAAATAAAATAAAGATTTTAGTTTTGGTCGAATTATCCATTTTATACGAACAAATTCGTGCTTGATGACAAATCCTAACCAGTCTTGGTATGTTCCGATCAATCCCCGCTCATAAACGACCCCTAGAGCGTCGGCGTTCCCCGCCGTCGGAATTACATTCATCACCCAGAGTGGATCTTCAATAAGCGCAGCCGCAAAGCCACCGAGCTTGGCGTTCATGTCGAGCAGGTTGCGATATCTCCCCTGTTGTCCAAGCTGCGGAATTATCGATTTATAATAACGGATCCTCTTTCTCCATAGCTCAGTGTCCTGCAGGAACATATCGGCGGTAACGCCATTAATGCTGCCGCTTTCAATCCTCGGTGGCACCGCCGTGAGCCTCTCAGGCCATTTCTTGAGCTTGCCGCCTGCGATTTCATTGGTTCCGGTGACATCTGGAAGAGGAGTGATGCAAGGTTCCATCTTTCTGTACCAAGCGATGTCTGGATTGAATGAAGAGCAAAAAGGTGGAGTTTTGATAAGCTTGCGATTGACTTTGCATAGGATATGGTTGTTGGGCTTTTGCCAGATAGCGATGTCGTTTTTCTCCTCTATCTTCTCCCAGCAAAGACTAAGAGCCACAGATTCAATGGCGTTCTGCTCTTCGTTCAGATCTTCCTCTGTTCTTTGCCATCCCTTCCAATGCCTCTTCCTGTTGATCGGCGGACCAGATAGAATCCAGTACCCACCTGGTCGGAGAATTCTGTCGATTTCTATCAGATAAAGCCCGTCTGTTCAATTGCATAATCAATTAGTTCAGTACCCACCAATTCTACAAACTCGGGAATCAGAGTAACCAAAAAAAAAAGGCAATTTTTACCATATTGATGCCAGGGGATAAGGCAGCGCGAGCAGTGCGCCATGTCGAAGGCTCGGGAGGGGTAAGGAAGACGATTTGAAGCCATAACGCCGATCAACGCCGGCACTCCACGTTCAAGAGCGAACTGCACCTGCGCCTCGTGTGAATCCCTTGGCGCGAACGATGCGGCTATGATATTTCTCGATAAAAGAAAAGCTCCCCAGCTCGCTACCTATACCAGCGAATCAATTTAAAAATAAAAATCCAATTTTTAATCCCAAGAAAGAAACAGGGAAAGCAACTTACACCGCATCCGGTATCAATGGCAGTCCGAATAGACCCATCGCTAAGCGGAATAAGCTGTTCAATTTCATTAATATAAGCATCGGCGCCATTCGGGAACATGGTTCCACCACCAGGGAACCGGAACTTGTCTCCCTCGACACGTATCCAGTTCTGCACCGCTTTCTCGACAGTAAGTTCCTTATGCGGAACGTTCGCAAACCAAGCAAGTTCTCTACTCATCGGCCATGGAAATGGTGTTTTGTATCCCTTCGGTGCTGGAATCAAACACTTCAAAATCTCACCTTTTTGGGGGCAATGACGTTCCCTGTAAATGAGACGGTCGCGTTCGAACTTGAGCGAACGCTGCACATCTTCGCAAGGCGTGTATTCCGACAAGTTGGCGGAGCATGGTGGGAAGTATTGATTCGGCCGGGAGAGTGCGGCGGAGTTTTTGGCGGCGTGGTGGGCGGTGAAGTCGAGATGGGTGGATTTCAGTTTGGAGAAGGGGGTGGGATTTTCGATGGTGGAGGAGGTATGGCTGCTATTTTGCCATATTCCGGTGAGGTAGGAGGCGGTGCAGAGCATGGCGATGAGGGTGAGAGTTGTGAGGTTCATCTTTGTTTTTTGGTAAGGTTTGGTGGCACCTGCCATAGTTATAGAGTCTTTAGTTCTTGTTGCTGTTGGGGAGAGGTTGAAGTTAGTAATTCAGGGAAGAAGGAGATAAGGTGACTGATGTCTACAGAGCAGTCGTGGAAGATGAGTTCTGCAACTCTGTAATATATGGTTAACTGGTTAAGGACCTGCCACAGAAGGTTTCTAATTTTATCAATATTTTGCGAAAATTGTGTTTCAGTGGATGAATTTATAACACGGAAGATATATTTGAAAGTTAAGCAACAATTAAAATATTTAATAGGATATAATGTATAGTTAGATAATTTAAATATTTATGTAATATTTATATTATATTTTTATCATATAAACTGATGTCTTGTAGGGTATTTTAATGATAAATCATTTATCATGTAAAACAGACAATTACAAGGAAAAAACGCTTGCTTAACTTTCCAATAACTCCCCATGTTCTCAATTTATGCACCGACATCTTATTTTTATGAAGTATAGAAAGCTTGTAAGTGTTTGCCAACATTTTTCCATGTATTGTAAAGTTGCAGAATTCTTCTTTTTCAAGTAGGCTCTCCCTATCGGTTCCTTTCCTGCCTCCTCCCATGCAAACTATCCCGAATAGTAAAAGGAGGAAAAAAAGCCTATAAACAAAGCTAGTGCCCCCAAAACATCACTAAAAGCACATGATGGACCTCACACTCTCTCCCATGTCACCATGCTGCTCTCCCTCCTAACTCGTCGGTGTCTGGCAACATAGTGACAATACATCATCCTTCATAGCATGCGACCGCACCCTTAACAATTTCTTGTGCGTTGTCCACAAATCGTAACTTTTTTGCCCACCTCATCTTTAATGACTCTACTGCCCACCCTCTCACAATCGATTTGCTACATACCGAAACATACACCTTGTGAAGATGTGCAGTGTTTGCTCAAGTTTGAACACAAATTAATTATCTATAAAGAATATCATTATCCTAAAAAACGGTGAGATTTCAAGATTTTTGCTTTGAATCAAATTGACTACTATGTCTACTTTCTTCTTTTTATTGTGTTAGGAGGTTAAACTTGCTTATGATGAGTTGCTTGAGGAACGAGTAGAGACCTGATAGATGGACAAGGAGCTCAAGGTGCTTGTGATGGAGAGAGAAAAAGTTATCATTATTTTTCTAAGCTTTTTCAGTTGCATGTTATCCTTATATACTTTTATAGTACGTCCTATAAGAAAATTAAGAGCTTGTTCATCAAGCATTGGCAGATTGCATTAACATTCATTGACCAAAGGGGAGTCATTTTAAAGTAATATAGGCTTTTATATCTAGGAAACCTCTTTATTCATTGGGCCAATTCCTATTTGATTATTGTCAGGGTAGCATAGAAAAAAAATAATCATTCGGTGGCCTGACAGCATTGATAAGTTGGTGTATACGAGTGAAGCAAGAACTTTTTTTTGAGTAGTTTCAGGTTAGTGTAATTGATGCATATTCTTTAAGCCTATACCCTTCTTGAATGTGACAATATTTACAAACCAAAAATGCGACGTGGATGCACTGCCTCATGGCGCGGGTGTGTTGCCTTGAGATGCGGGTTCGCCCCTGAAGCTTAGGTGTCGCAGGTGCACCGCTTTGCATGGCTCGGGTGAGCTTGGAGTGTTGTGGTGGCACGGGTGTTCAACCTCCAAGCACGGGTGCGCCAGAGGTCAAAATTTGATGGTTATGACTAAAATGATGACCTTAGCTTTACTAAAGAAGATCATGGAATCGAATGGTACAAATGATTTTAGTTGAAGTGCTCTCTATGTCATGGAAATTCATGTCACAGTGTGAGCCTCACCCTATGAGAGAGAAATTTATATTATAGATGAAAACTCAGATGAGCGTCAAATTGGTTAATTTTGATGTTTCTAGCTCAATTTGATTATATGTTAAGTTTGTAGTTGATTCAAGTTCATTTGGAGGGCAAAATCATAATTATTGTCAAAACTATCATAATTATCATCGAATTTATTACAGGCTATATGTGCCCTAAAATGAAGTTCAATTTAGGCTAGAAGGGGCTCATTTGAAATATTTGGACATTTCGGATATATTTGCAAATTTCATTTTGTAAATTAATACTTTAATGAAAATTTATGTGGGATCACTTTTCATGTATTTTCATGTTTTTTCATGTATGAAGGCTCGCCACTCAAAATATCATGTAAGAAAATTATCTGATAACCATAAGAACTTATCTCATGCGATTCATACACTAATAATGAACTAAATATAACACATAACATGGAATTCGCACTACAATGATCTGTAGATAAAACGACAATTTTGTGGCATAAAACTGATGCTTTGAGAATATTCACTCATCGGGTTGCATTTCAGACCCATTTAAGATTTGATTGAAGTTAGTTATATACGATTTTCATTTTATGCGATTTACTTCATATTTGTCTTAGATATTTGAAGTAAATGAGGAGTTGACCAAAAGTGAAGTCGGCAGCTATTTATTCTCCACAACCAAATCCCTAGTAATGATATGGTGTTAGGTCCTAGCAACTCGCCTAATGAATAGATTTCTAACACATTGAATATCTATCCAAAAAAAAATGTTATTAAATCTAATTACCACTTAAATGTAGTAATTTATTGGTTATTGACTATTTGAAAGCAAAGAATCCGTGCATCTAACATTATTGTAAATTACCCTAATGTACCAAGTATTAGTAGGGATTCCCTACATTATTAAACACCTTGAAAAAATGTAGAACATCATATTTCTCTTTGTAAGGTATACATTTTGAAACAGTTGAAATCCATTAAGCCTATGCCAATACTTTCGTTACTTGTTGCTTTATTAGTTATCCTGTATCTTCTTTTCTATAATGATTTGGTCTCAGAAACTTTTCTATGCGTACTATTAGCATATCATTAACCAAAGTTGATGGCTACTTCTTAAACACTTTATTAACTTTAGATCAATAAGACCTAACATGTGCTAACTATGGTGCTGGATATGACTCTATAAAGAAAATTTAATAGCCATCATTTCTTTCATCCACTTCTCCATATGAGACATTTGATTATCTTTTTAAACTAATAGGTGTATATATATACATGAAGGGGCAGCGCCTAGGAAGGCGAAACGCCACCGACAAGACTGACGCGCGGGATTACATGTTATTCATAGTAAAGTAATTATTACCAAAAAAAAGAAAAGATGTGTTTTATTTATTTTATTTTATTGTACACAAAAAGTGGGTTTCCCACCAAACCCTCGATTACAACTAATAAAGGAAAAAGTTTAAGAGATTGTTTGTGCCTTCGTCCGAGACAAACTCTCGATGACGAAGCCGCTAATACATAAACTTGCGGCCCTACCTGAAGAGGTTGTTTTGACTATCCCTCGGTTGAGCAGAGAAGACCTCTCTGATGGCTGATAATTTTAAACACATGTTGTTTTTGCGAGATCTATAGATATACACCAGCCAGTTGATGTATATAAATCAAACAGGAGAAAACAGGAGAACGATCGATGAAGCGAAAAATAGAACGAGAAAATTTACACTATAAAACAGTAACACGATAGCAGAATACACAGATTTACGTGGTTCGACAAATTGCCTACGTCTACGGAGTTGCAGAGGATTTTAATACTTGAGGAATTTACACCAGTCGTCACCTCGACTTACAAGAGGAATCTCTCACTCTTCGTTGCTCTCTCTTCTTCTGTCTCTACACCGAGATACACCAAAGAAACATTACACCGAGATACACCAAAGAAGACTAACTTACAAGAGAAATAAACACAATTTCTCTTCTGCCACAAGCCACCAAGAAGAAACCAAGGGAGAACAAACTTCTTCCCTCTTCTTCCTCTACCGCAAGGAACTACTCCTCCTTGCACTTCTCTTCCACTGTCCCATGGAAGCCCGAAGAACTTTTACTCTATTCCGAGGAAACCCGAAGAAGAAACACAAAACGTGACTTCAAAACTAAAGGAGTCGTCTGAAGTCTTTTATCATGAACAGGAGGGAGCGAAGGCGGGAGCGGTTAGCGCGTGACTGAAGAGGTGGGATGCCCGACTCATCACAAACGGGAGCAGGAGTGGCGGTTTGCGGGAGTTCTGGCGCCGATTCGCGAAACGTAGGAGGCTAGAGCGAGCGGTCTCCAACGCTAACAATCTTCCACTTGGAGACCGATACACCTGCTACAACATCTTCTTCCTCAAACTGATATCCTCTACCATGAATCCTCCAACTTGAATCCTCCACCATGAATCCTCCAACTTGAATCCTCTATCTCTGAATCCTCCATTAAACAAAATCTGTGTCATCAAATTTCTCGATCCCTGAAACCTTCACTTCATCTGCAGCTATCATTCTTCCTCAGATCCAAACAAAGCTCTGATATCAGTTATTGTTGTTGCGAGATCTATAGATATACACCAGCCAGTTGATGTATACATATAAATCAAACAAAAGAATGATCGACGAAGTGGAAAATAGAACGAGAAAATTCATACTAGAAAATAGTAGCACCACAGCAGAACACACAAATTTATGTGGTTTGACAAATTGCCTACGTCCATGGAGTTACAGAGGGTTTTAATACTAAAAAAATTTACACCAGCCATTCACCTCAACTTACAGGAGGAATCTCTCACTCATCGTTGCTCTCTCTCTTCTTCTTTCTATCTTTTTCTCTCTCTACACCAAGATACACCGAAAAAGACAAGCATACAAGAGATATAAACCCAATTTCTCTTCTGCAACAAGCCGCCAAGAAGAAGCTAAGGGAGATTCTTATTTCTTCTTCCTTCTTCCTCCTTCCTCCTCTACCGCAAGGAATTAGTCCTCCTTGCGCTTCTCTTCCACTATCCTGTGGAAGCTCGAAGAACTTTTACTCTATCTCGAGGAAACCCGAAGAAGAAACACAAAGTGTGACATCAAAACTAAAGGAGTTATCCGAAGTCTTTTATCACGAATAGGAGCGAGCAAAGGAATGCTTCGCTTCACAACATAGGAAGGAGGGAGTAGTTGGCATGCTACTGAAGAGGCGGGAGGTGCGAATCTTCGCGAACGGGAGCAAGAGCAACGGTTCACGGGAGCGCTGGAGCTGATTCGC